CAGGGCCTGACTGTCTGTGCCTTCCCCCCTCGCAGGGCATGGAGGGGATAAAAGTGTTCTTGCACGAACGGGAGCTGTGGCTGAAATTTCACGAAGTGGGGACGGAGATGATCATAACAAAGGCCGGGAGGTAAGAGGAAGGAGTGTGAGGGGGTTCCTCGCGTCACCCTGAATATGCAGGTTTGGAGGGGGGTGGATTTTGCTTACGGACACGCATGAGGAAGGGTGCATGTACCCAGCCCCGCTGTCCCTGACATCGGTCCGGTCACGTCTCCCGTGTGCGAGACCCCCCGCCGTGTCCGTGCCACGGCCCCGAGGGTGCCCGCAGAGCCCTGCCCGGCAATGCCCCTCCTTGCCGGGCTGCGTTCAGCAGAAATTGGTTTCTTCTGGCTTCTTTTTTAACCAGAGCAGTTGGGTCGTTAATCCTAAATTCAGGCCTTTGGAAGATTTCCAGGCGAACGCGAGTTGAAAATGCTTGGCCAAAAGCTACCCTTGCTTAGAGCATTATTATTATTATTGTTATTATTACTACTATTATTATTATTTAAAGGAGCAACTCGGCCCTTGCGCGATTTTGCAGTGGCTTACACTGTTTACAGAAGTTTTTTATTTATTATGCACACACTGAGGAAAATAAATCCAAAACACCCGCACCCACCCCATTTAAAAATATTTATGCGTGATCTTAAGCTACCGTTTCTACGTTGCTAGCAAAGCTGTTTAGATGTATAGATGGCTATGTCCGTAAATAAATAGCGTGCGGATCTAACTGCACCCGGATACACATTTCTGTATGTTCGTGTTTGCGTGGGTGTGTAGAAAAATATACAGCCTTGCAAATCCAACTTTACTGGGACTGCGCCTAATCGATTCCATGACCGGTTTAGAAAAGCTGGCCCATGGATTTTTTGTATGTGTACGCGTGTAGATTTGAGTGTCTTTGAGGCGATTTAATATTATCCTTAATTAATGCGTTAAATGGAAGAGTGGCTAAGCTAGTCACACCCAGTAAAACAGTCTCTCCGGTCCCATCAGCAAACTGGGGGCAGCCTGAGAGAGGTTTATTTTCGCTGTGATTTTAAATTTCAGTTTTCGAAGGAAGGGGGAAAAAATCCTCCATGCATATAAATAACGGTAGATTTAAATTGCAAGAGTACAATAAACAACGCAGAGTCAAACTTTCATTTTGCTCTGTCAGCTGACAGACCACTGTTGTGGTCTTCACAAATTTTCCTGAAGAGGGAGGGGAAAAAAAATACCGCGCTGGTTGGATAAAGTTTTAGTGAACAGATTTGTGTCACGGCTTGCCTTCCCCTTCAACCTCGCTGCTGCTGGAAATACTGGGTTTAAAGAAAGGTTTTGGGTCTAAAGGGAAGTGATACCAAGGGGAGGATGCTAGGACTGACGTCCTGCCGACCCCCGGTGCAGAGAGACGTCCCGAAAAATCCGAGTTCATGGGGGGGGGGGGGGGGGGGGAGGGGGGGGGAAAAAAAAC